GATCTTTAAGGAGAGGCAGCTCACGGCAGCTTCTTGAAATCCCTCTTGCCGTTTGCATGTGGTACACCTCCAGCAGCGCAATGGGTCCTCCTTCCAGTTTGGGCAGTTTTTGGTCCAGGAGGCAGAACAGCAACGCCCTTTACCTGCCGCCAGAACCATCCCTGACAAGGCGTTTTCCCATCTGCTGTGCCCGTTGTCCGTATTACAATGCCAGGGAGTGACCAAACTGCCAGGCTTCTTCCCAGGCAGAAGGGCCCCTCCTCCCGAAACTTGCAAAGAACCTGGCTTGGCTGTGGCTGCCAGGCCAGGCTCGCCCAGTGGGCTTCATGGATCGGTGGCGACTTAAACCCAGCTCTTATGAGTCCCAGCCCAATACTCCAGTCCTTAAACTTCTCTGGTTTTCCCATGTTCCGTGGAAAATCAATTATTTTTCCTGAATTGTGAGAAACCCGAGGCTGAGATTGAGAACATTGACTCTTGGGAGGCTGAGCTGCTGATCCCCACTAGGCTGGTTGAGGCACATGGGAGTTGCCCACGCATGGAGATCTGGAGGACCAGAAGCTGACCATGTCTGGCTTTAAGAACAAGCACGATTCTTGGCCACTGAGATGCTTCCTTGCTAATGGTTGGAAGGAACCTTTGCGTTATGCATTAATATGCAGAATTTTTTTTTGGTACCCAGGCCAGGCTCACCCAGTGGGCTTCATGGATCAGTGGCGACTTAAACACAGCTCTTATGAGTCTCAGCCCAATACTCCAGTCCTTACACCTCTCTGGTTTTCCCATGTTCCGTGGAAAATCAATTATTTTTCCTGAATTGTGAGAAACCCGAGGCTGAGATTGAGAACATTGACTCTTGGGAGGCTGAGCTGCTGATCCCCACTAGGCTGGTTGAGGCACATGGGAGTTGCCCACGCATGGAGATCTGGAGGACCAGAAGCTAACCATGTCTGGCTTTAAGAACAAGCAGGATTCTTGGCCACTGAGATGCTTTCTTGCTAATGGTTGGAAGGAACCTTTGTGTTATGCATTAATATGTAGAAATTTTTTTGGTACAGTCGAATTGAGGTGAAAGGGAGCAGAAGCCAAGGAAGGTCTGGAGGAATTTTCAGACGGTGCAGATCTGTCAAAAGAGATGTTTCCCCTTCCCCTTTCTAGGAGCAGCACCCTGAAGAGGAATTGATCAAGTCCAAACAGGATGAAGTCAATGCCAGCTGGCAGCGTCTGAAGGGGCTGTCCCTGCAGAGGCAGGGAAAGCTCTTTGGAGCAGCTGAAGTGCAGCGTTTTAACAGGTAGGGGCTTGGCCTGCTTGTTGGAAAGACCGAAATGATTAGAGACTTGACACGGAGTGTTTCTGTATTTAAAGTTGCATATATGGAACAGTCTCTGTATCCGCTCAGGGTCTTAGTTCACAGCACCTGCTCTGCTTCCCTCCCAATCGGTTGGACCCGGCGGGCTTTCTCCGACTGACTGCTGGAATCCTTTTAACCTAATCCGTCAGGAACCAAACTGGGAGCCTTTTGTGCATGCAGAATCCGCAGCTCCCTACCTGGGGGCCTGTGGCTGAGCCTGCAGCTCTTCCTTAAGCCCTGAACTCTTAGCCACTAAGTCATTTCTCACGTCTTCTCTTCACGCTAGTGGTGTCATGCAAGACTCACTCGTTCTATCAGAGAGTTTAGCACCATCTCCTGTTTGCCTTTTTTTGGCAATAGTGTCCCTTTTGGTCATAAGACTGAGGAGATGGAGCCGAATAAAGCAATGGCTCTTGCAAAACACAGATCCTGAGTTGCTTGAAATAGAAAAATAATGGCAGATGCAGGTTGGGGTAACATTGGGTGTGTGTTTGCATGCAAGTAGGAGGGAGAGTTTAAGACCAACAGGGAATGTAGGTTTGAAGGCAGGATGTCATTGCCTGCGCTCTCGTTGCCTTGATGGCGAGATGTTTATGCGTTTAAACTGGGATTTCTTTCCCCCAGGGATGTGGATGAGACCATAAGCTGGATTAAAGAGAAGGAGCAGCTGATGGCCTCCGACGATTTTGGCAGAGACCTTGCAGGAGTGCAAGCCTTGCTGCGCAAACATGAAGGCCTGGAGAGGGACCTGGCTGCCCTGGAAGACAAGGTGAGAGGAGGAGGAGGAGGAGGCAGCGGTGTTAGGTCAAGAACGACCACATTCAAGGGCACACGGCAGGAGGCCTGCAAGGATTCCCCCCATGTTTTCATTTTGGGGATGTTAAAAGGAGCCCTTACAAGATAGAAAACTAAGGTTCCTCTGTGAGTTGTCATAAGGAACATGCTGACAGAGAACAGAGAACCCCACCTTTGTATCAGTTCTTTCTAATTCTGATTCTACAATCCTATTCGTCCTGCTGAACTTGCCTCTTTTAGCTACAGTGGGAGTCTGTATGTTTTTCTTCATCATTGCAACGTTTGCAGACACCACGTTTTCAGGTTCAGCGCAGGTTCAGTAAAATCTGCCCAGTGCTTGATGGTACAGAACTGAAGTTTTCTACTCCCCCCCCCTCCCCCACAAAGCTGGCTTTAGCTGACCTTGACGTTAACTCACCGGCTGCCTCTCTGTGCCTCTAGGTGAAGGCTTTGTGTGCGGAGGCTGACAGGCTACAGCAGTCACACCCTCCCAACGCCTCTCAGATCCATGTGAAACGGGAGGAGCTGATTGCAAACTGGGAGCAAATTCGCACTCGAGCAGCTGAGAGGCATGCTCGCCTGAATGACTCCTACAGGTAAGAATGCAGTCTTCCTTTAGAGGGAGTGAGGCAACTGGAAAAGATTTCTGATAGAGTTTCCTAATTTGGGGTGTGTGCGTGGGGGGTGTGGAGCATGTGTGGTACATTTTGTTTCCAAAGTAAATAATTTCATCAGCGTCTTAGCAGAGGAGGAAAAGAGGCTTATCCTGTCATCGGCAACAGGACAAGTTTTCTAATGATTTTGTTCCTGTGCCATTCCTTTAATCCAGGGTGAGAACCCACAAGTTGCAGTCTCGCCCCTTGTGGGTTGTGGTTTCCCAGGGGGAGAAATGAAAATAGATTATGGTGTGTCCTTGGAGGCCAGATGTTGAGCAACATTCATAAGGGATGGCTAAAACAAGTCCAGTTGCTCCCCACTCCATCTCCATACACCTCAAAAACAGCTTTTATGAAAGCTTCCCTCTTGGGCTGGTAGACATTCCAGGGCTGCCTTCCAGAAATGGCCGACTGGAGCCAGTTCTGAGGAGAAGACAGGAGCAGGAGGCATTAAGCGGGAGAAGTTGGGATATAAAGCACAGGGGCCGCTAGGAGGAAACTGTGATGCTGCAGCAACCTTGCAGAGACAATGATGGTGGGTGGAGAGAGGCCAGGGTTTCAAACTTGGCAGAGTGAAAAGGGGCCGCGTGGTCTGAGAGGCAGGGAAGAGTGTTCTTTCTGCGCCACATGCCCTGGGCTTGCCACTTCTGCCACTCCCTCTCCTTTCTCTCTTTCCATCCCAAAGATTGCAGCGATTCCTCGCAGACTTTCGGGACCTCACTAGCTGGGTGACTGAAATGAAGGCTCTGATCAACGCCGATGAACTCGCCAATGACGTGGCAGGAGCCGAAGCCCTGCTAGACAGGCATCAGGAACATAAGGTAACAGGACCGAAGGAGGGGTCACCTCTGGCCGAGTCGGCGGTTGGCCCCTCTCGCTTGGTGGCAGCAGCCCGTCCGTTTCTTTGGGTCCCTTCTCTGCCTAAATGATTCAGTTTCTGTATTTGAGCTGGAGTGGGTTGGGGGGGCCTCTGTCATGTTTTTATTGTATTTGATAGTGTGGTTTTAAAGTAGTGGCATTACTATTTGGGAAAGTGATTTTCTCTCTCTTTTCCCCCCCTTTCTTTTCTTTTGTCTCAGGGAGAAATTGATGCCCACGAAGACAGTTTTAAAGCCGCAGACGAGTCTGGCCAGGCTTTGCTCACTGCCGGTCATTATGCTTCAGATGAAGTTAAAGAGAAGGTAAGGGTGATTTGCAAGGCCGTGAGAAATGGAAAACGGTATCTGTTTTGAGGCCGTTCGACCCATTGCCTGTTAATTTGCCTCCCCTTGTTATTAAATTGGCAACCTCTGTAGTCAGAGTGCATGGATGTGTTGCTAGTGAAACAGCAAATAGGCAGGAGCAGAGGGGGGGCCCTGCTTGCCTCTGGCCGAGTCGGCGGTTGGCCCCTCTTGCTTGGTGGCAGCAACACATCCGTTTCTCTGGGTCCCTTCTCTGCCTAAGTGATTCAGTTTCTGTGTTTGAGCTGGAGTGGGTTGGGGGGGGGGGCTCTGTCATGTTTTTATTGTATTTGATAGTGCGGTTTTAAAGTGGTGGCATTACTATTTGGGAAAGTGATTTTCTCTCTCTTTTTTCCCCCTTTCTTTTCTTTTGTCTCAGGGAGAAATTGATGCCCACGAAGACAGTTTTAAAGCCGCAGACGAGTCTGGCCAGGCTTTGCTCACTGCCGGTCATTATGCTTCAGATGAAGTTAAAGAGAAGGTAAGGGTGATTTGCAAGGCCGTGAGAAATGGAAAACGGTATCTGTTTTGAGGCCGTTCGACCCATTGCCTGTTAATTTGCCTCCCCTTGTTATTAAATCGGCACCCTCTGTAGTCAGAGTGCATGGATGTGTTGCTAGTGAAACAGCAAATAGGCAGGAGCAGAGGGGGGGCCCTTTATTTATTTATTTATTTATTTATTTGATTTTTACCCCGCCCCTCTAGACCATGTCTACTCGGGGCGGCTTACAAAATAAAACAAGACAGTATAAAATATATAAAATCCTGCTTTTTCAGTTTCCTTTTCTCTGTGCAAAGGTATCAAGAAAGAGAAATCTGTCTTGCCAAAGGTAGGGAAGAGTCTTGCAGCCATCAGGCAGAAATGAGAGAAGTCGCCTTTGTGGGCCCCTCCAGCCCGGCGAACCTCTCCTTCGATGGGTGGCCGTTGTCCACAATCACACAAAGAGAGATGGACTTCTCTGTTCTGAAAACTTCCCACACTGTTCTTCTCCCCCTGGAAGGACTTTTGTTTTTGATGTGTGCCTTCTGGGCCTGAGAGATGGGCCCCCTCCTCGAGGGGTTTAGAAACCTGTGGAGCCATAGAGGCCAAAGCAGCAACCTTTAGGAAGGGTGGGCGTGATGTGGCCTGCTGTGTCTTGCCCAGTGAGCAGGGTTTCACAGAACTGGCGTACAGATGCCTTGAGCGATGGAGCCCTTTGCTCCAAGAACCGACTCCACACGTACACACACCTCCTTTCTCCTTCAGCTGAACATCCTTTCCAGCGAAAGAACTGCCCTTCTGGAGTTGTGGGAGCTTCGCCGGCAGCAGTACGAACAGTGCATGGACCTGCAGCTTTTCTACCGAGACACCGAGCAGGTTGATAACTGGATGAGCAAACAAGAAGTAAGTGTCTTGGACTTTGGATCCAGCCTGCTCTCGGAGTTGGAATGGTATGGCTGCCTCTGCATCTTGTAGTGGTGCCTTCCCTAGAAAAGAAATGTGTGTGTGTATTTTCTGTTGTATCCCTTGAATTTTTGGACATTCAGTCTCACTGGATGACCTCCGTCAGTTTCGTGACACGCTCTGCCTCTGTTGCGCCTCTAGGCTTTCTTGCTGAATGAAGACCTTGGGGATTCTCTGGACAGTGTGGAAGCCCTCCTGAAGAAGCACGAGGACTTTGAGAAGTCCCTCAGTGCCCAAGAAGAGAAAATCACCGTAAGTTCTGGACTGTTGGTTGTTTGGCTTTTTTCCTATGGGGCAGAGAAACCCATATTTTCAGGAGGAACCAGCTTTCTTTAAGAGTCCTCTTTGCTGGTTCAGTTACTGGACGGCTGCCTTTTGTGGGTTCCACATCATTAAAACCCTCTGGAAATAACTTACTGAAATTATCAGTGTTGACTCGGGACATTTCCAAAATATACTATTGTGCACTTGCTTCTGAAAAAATAGGGCAAGGCCACCCTGCTTCATAGTATACGTTGGACTGCTCTTCACACCCCCATGAGTACAATCAGTGGAGGAGAAACCTACCAGACATTTATGTCCGTACGCGGTTGGGTTGGCCTTTATGATTCTTAATTCCTCAGCCTTACTGTTTTGATTCCTATGCTACCTGCCTTCTGGAAGTCTTTCTTTGTTCTTCAGGACGTTTAATGCCAGAAAGGTTGACATAACAGAGAGATTAGGACTGGGGTTGATCCATTTCATTGGTTAGGGAGTTCCAGACATTTACTAGATTTGTAACCAGATCCAAAAACCTTCCTTTCATTTCCAGTAAATGAGAATATTTTTTTTTGCTTCTTTTCTTAAAGGCCCTGGATGAATTTGCTACAAAACTGATACAGAATAACCATTATGCTAAGGAAGATGTGGCCACGCGCCGGGATGCTGTGAGTTGCGGGTTCTTGCTTTGCTTTCTGTCGTTTGGCGGAAAGCTCTGATGTGACGACAGCTGCCATGACGAGAAGAAATCCTAAGCAAAGGATCTGCCTTCTTATTCTTTCAGCTCTTGAGCCGCCGCAACGCTTTGCACGAGCGAGCCATGTATCGCCGGGCTCAGCTGGCAGATTCCTTCCACCTGCAGCAGTTCTTCAGAGACTCGGACGAGCTGAAAAGCTGGGTCAATGAAAAGATGAAAACTGCCACCGACGAGGCCTATAAGGTGCGACCGTCATCATGCCAGTTTCGGACTGGGCTTGTCTTTGTGTGTAATCCTCTTATCTTGAAGAGATAAAGGCCGCTAAAGCATGCTTTGCCCTTGCCCCTCCAGCAGGTGGTTCTGTGGTGGTTGAGTGACTCAAGTCTGTCCACCCCAGTTCAGATCCCCCGTAGAGTGTGGACAAGAAAAGCATCATTGTGCTAAACACCCAAGTACTATTTGCTATAAATGTCTGATTTGACATTTTCTGTGCGTTCTGTTAAGCCCAATTCTTGATGCTTGAGATCCGGTTAGTGCCAAGCCTGCAACGTGTCGGGTGTCCTTCTGCCTCTAGGATCCATCCAACCTTCAGGGAAAAGTTCAGAAACACCAGGCCTTTGAAGCTGAGCTCTCGGCAAACCAAAGCCGCATCGATGCCCTGGAGCAGGCCGGGCAGAAGCTGATTGATGTCAAACATTACGCCTCGGACGAGGTGGCCACTCGCATGAATGAGGTCATCAACTTGTGGAAGAAGCTTCTGGAAGCTACCGAACTGAAAGGTAAGAACACGTCTGATTCAGAAAGAAGCATGTAGAATCACAGAGTTGGAAGAGACCACAGGGGCCATCGAATCCAACCCCCGGCCATGCGGGAACTCCATCAAAGCATTCCCGACAGAGGGCCATCCAGCCTCTGCTTAAAAATCTCCAAAGGAGGAGACTCCACCACACTCCGAGGCAGCCTATTCCATTGCCAGCCAGCTCTGACTGTCAAGAATTTCTTCCTGAGATTCAAGTGGAATCTCTCTTCCTGTAGTTTGAAACTATTGCTCCTTGTCCTAGTGTCTGGAGCTGTGGAAAACAAGTCTCTCCCTTCCTTGACATGACATCCTTTCAAATATTTAAGAACCCCGTGTTGACTTTTAGTGATGACAGCATTGCTTTCTAAGTAATACAAACTGTCTGTTTAATGACCCGTTCTAGAATTTTTCCTGGAATTGATGTCAGGCTGACTGGGCGATAATTATTTGGGTCTTCTTTTCCCCCCTTTTTGAAGACAGGGACAACATTTGCCCTCCTCCACTCTGTGGGGACTTCTCCTGCTCTCCAAGAACTCTGAAATATCATTACTAATGGTTCCGAAATTACTTCTGCCAGTACTTACTTTTGTAGAGTAATGTAGAGTAACAGCTGTGTAGAAAGTTAAAAGAATGCAGATTATATTCTCCTTTTCCCCTCGTCTCAGGGATCAAGCTCCGTGAAGCCAACCAGCAGCAGCAGTTCAACCGCAACGTGGAAGACATCGAGCTGTGGCTGTACGAAGTGGAAGGGCACCTGGCTTCCGATGATTATGGCAAGGACCTCACCAACGTTCAGAACCTTCAGAAGAAACATGCTTTACTGGAAGCCGACGTGGCCGCTCATCAGGTGCGAGCCTTCTTCCTTCCCTCTTTCCAATGAGGCCCATGGCCACATCTGTGCTCTCAGCCGTGCAGGAGATGAAAAATAGCTCAGGATAGTTCATCTGTTTTTATTTTCTTCCCTCATGACCTCACTTCCATCTCTTTGGTACGGCGGAATAGAGTAACGGGGAAGACAAACGTCCATACCGGTTTAGAGTCCAAACAAAAGTATTTTCAACTCCTGGCTACCGATTCTGCTTTCTCACCCTATTGCAAAGCAGGAGCATCATTTCAGCCTCACTACCTTACCATAGTTATCCCTCTTCCACTGCAGGTTGCTGTGACATCCACATCGATCCGAGGTGTGCGATGCAGGCCTCAGGGTGTGCCCCTTGCAGCTCAGGGTGCAATGGGGGATTTGCTTTAGGTCCTTTTTCATAATTTGAATAATTAAACCCCCAGCTCCTGCTAGAAAGAAGCTCCAAAGAAGTGGCATCTCTCCAGAATCTAAGGAAAGGGATGTGAAAGAGCTGCTGGTCTGAATAAATTTTTTATACCAAGCTGTCTGTTCTAGGACCGCATTGACGGCATCACCATCCAAGCTCGGCAGTTCCAGGAGGCAGGACACTTTGATGCGGACAACATCCGAAAGAAGCAGGAGGCTCTGGTGGCCCGCTATGACGCCCTGAAGGAGCCGATGGTGGCCCGCAAGCAGAAGCTGGCAGACTCCCTTCGCCTGCAGCAGCTTTTCCGTGACGTTGAAGACGAAGAAACCTGGATCCGAGAGAAGGAACCCATCGCAGCCTCAACCAACAGAGGTCGGTGTCCTTTGGGGGCTCTCTCGTGGACGGGCAGAGCACTTACCCATCTCTGCTTCTGTGGAGAAGACGTTTGACCTTCTAAATGCTATCTGGGGGTCTCTGGATACGAGGTCTTTACGGACGTGCTTTTGATGGGAACGACGGGTAACTGCGTCCACTCTGTTCCTTTTTTCAGGCAAGGACCTGATCGGGGTGCAGAACTTGCTGAAGAAACACCAAGCCCTGCAAGCGGAGATCGCAGGCCACGAACCCCGCATTAAAGCAGTCACGCAGAAGGGGAACGCCATGGTGGACGAAGGTGGGCTTCAGGTTTCTTTTCCCATGCCTTTCCAAATTACAGACACATATATATTAATTGTGTGTGCAGCACTGTGTGTACAGTTTTAAAACAACAGCAAAGATTGTTTTGAATGTTTGTCAGTGTTAATGGCCTTGTTTGTCATGCTGATATCACTGGCGAAGTTGGTTCTTTGCCTGGTTTCAAAACAAATGCGTAATACTGTAACTCACAGAGCATGGTTTGTAATTTCATTACATCTCCACAAATTGTGCCTGAACAGAGAAAGAAGAATTCAGGATTAGACGAGCAGGACTGGCTGTAACTCTACATGGGTTGCATTAAATTGACACTGTAATCAGATGTCAAGAAGGCCAGGGAAGCACAAAAGACAATTACGAGTTTACATGGAGAGCCAGAGTAGGTAGATGGTTTAAGTGGAATAAGCAGTACAGTTGGAACGTTTGAGCAGAGATGAATCCTTCAAGGAGAGAAATGGTCAGCCTGCTGTGGCGTTATGACTTCACGGTGATCGTGTGTGCGCCTATGTTTCAAGTGGATACTGAACTGTCTTGACTCTTCATCGTTAATCAGTCTCCGTTTGGAGCCCATAGGAGCCGCGTCCTCTCACTGGAGTTGTTTGCCGTTGTTTCTTGTGTCAGAAACAGCCCTAAATGAATCTGTTTAAAAAAAGAAAGGACCTGCCTCATTCATTGATGTATTTTCTGGCCACAAGGCATTCCACTGACGTCCGCTAAAGGCCTTCTGTTCCTGTTAATAAACGTGTTGGGAAAGGCATGCTGGGCCTTTGAGTGGATGGCGCCCTGGGCCCAAGGCCTTCTTTTACCTCTTTGCAGGAATGCAGGGAGACCTCAGACAGGAAGGACAGAGAGGTTTAGATTCCACCTGTCTTCCCCTGAGCTTCTGTCCGCTCAAGGAAGGGGAGAAGGAGGAGGGAGGAGGGTTTCAGGCAGGGCTTGGGCAGAGTGAAGTTCTGGTCCGTGCTGGAGGGGGACACCCTTGTCGGAAGGACCTTCCGTTCCCTCTCTCTCTTTTATGGCCGGCTTGAGACCTTCTCTGGCTTCCTCCGGAGGGAGACGCCTGTCGCACCGAGGGCCAGCGTGAGCTCGGCTCCCTGTCTGATTTCGGAATGGCCTTTGCTCCCCCCCCCGCCACCCAGGGCACTTTGCTGCTGAGGACGTGAAAGCCAAACTGAACGACCTGAACCAGAAGTGGGAGTCCCTGAAGGCCAAGGCCTCCCAGCGCCGGCAGGACCTGGAAGACTCCCTGCAGGCCCAGCAGTACTTTGCGGACGCCAACGAGGCCGAGTCCTGGATGAGGGAGAAGGAGCCCATCGTGGGCAGCACCGACTACGGGAAGGACGAGGATTCGGCTGAGGTAGCGTCCCTGTGGCTGGGAGCGATGGGTGTCGTCCACAGGGGGAGCAGCGGAGGGAGCCCTCGATGCCGTCCCAAGAAGCCGCCTTGTGTTGGTTGTGGGACAGGGCAGATTCAGGGAGGCTCTGGTGTGGAGGGTCTGGCTGGCGGAAGGAGGGGGGCAAGACCTGAGGGGGGCACAGGTGGTCAACTGGGAAAAGGGAGGCGCTGGTGCCCCCCTGGGATTGGAGGGTGTGGGGAGGTGAAGAAAGGTGTGAGCGCACCTTGGGGGGGAGGCTGATGGTGAAAGGAGGCCTGGGTTTCCGAGGGTGTGAGGGGGGCGGGCTTGCGTCAGCTGCCTTGCCACTCTTGCAGGGTCCCTGGCAATGGACCTTTTACTGGATGTTATTAATGAGTCCTGTTTGTTTTTCTAGGCTCTCCTCAAGAAGCACGAAGCTCTGATGTCAGACCTCTCAGCCTATGGCAGCAGCATCCAGGCCCTGAGGGAGCAGGCCCAGGCGTGCCGGGTAAGGCCATACGTAAGACAAATGCAGGCTGAAAGTTATTCTCAGCACTTTTCCTTCCTACATATTGAAAGGTAGCAGCAAAATAGACTGGGTCTCCCCACAGCGGACCCATGTCTCCCCGTGTCTGTTTTTTCAGCAACAAGTGGCCCCCACAGACGATGAAACTGGCAAAGAATTGGTCCTGGCTCTGTACGATTACCAAGAGAAAAGCCCCCGGGAAGTTACCATGAAGAAAGGAGACATCTTGACTCTGCTGAACAGCACCAACAAGGTACGGTCCTGGTTGTCAACGTCTCACAATGCAGCAGGTTCAGCAGGAAAACCCCGGTTTGGGTTGCTGTTGATGGTTTCTTTACTTTTCAAGGGGAAAAGGAACGGGGAAGGGATGCCAAAGGAGGGCAGAAATCCTGAACCTCTTCATCTTGTGTATTTGGTAACTCTGGAACAAAAGAAGGCAAACCTTTCTTAAGAAAGGGTGCTTTGGGCCAGTGTGTGGGGGAGATGCAGCTCATTCTCGAGGTGGAATTCTCCATTGGGGGGGCAGTTTTGGGGCAGGTATTGGTTTCCACCACTGCTCTGCAGAGAAGTGAAAGAGATAACCTGAAAGGGTCATCCCACGTTCATGGCTTGAGTTTTAGACAATTAACAACTTTTGCTCTGTGGAAGTACAGCCATCACAGGTAATTGCCTCGCTGTTATTTCCACACGGTCGCTTATTCTGAGATTGGAAGTGAAGTTGAGAGGGTCGCCTCCTGGCAGTGGTGCTTTTTCAGCTCCAGCTTGTGATCTTCTCCCTTCCAACTCCATAAACACATCTCTGCTTGAAATAAATTTCTGGAGTGTGATTCCAGGCTAGTGAGTGGCGTAAATGGGAGGAGAAAACAATCCAGGTTGGCTTTCCCTTTGCCCCTAGGACTGGTGGAAAGTGGAAGTGAATGACCGTCAGGGGTTTGTACCAGCCGCCTACGTGAAGAAGCTGGACCCAGCGCAGTCCGCCTCTCGCGAGAACCTCCTGGACGAGCAGGGCAGCATCGCCTTGCGGCAGGAGCAGATTGACAACCAGTAAGATCAATGTAGCCAGACCACGGGTGTGTGTGTGTGTGTGTGAGCTGGAGAGCTTGTGAAGGGTTGTCATGTTGACCGGCCTTACCAAGGAGTTGAAGGTTGCTGGCTCCTTTTTTCTTTTTCTGTTTTCTTTCTTTCTTTTGCCCCAAGAGATGGTTCCACTGAAAAAGCATACCACCACCTTTTCTATTCTTTAACAGGTCCATTTTCTTCCTAACTTCAGAAACCTCCTCCTGCTTTTCCATTTTCATGGTTAAAGAGTGTTTTGAAATTGACTATCTCGTGTCTGCTAACTGTGTTTTTTCTGTCTCTTAACCAATCCAGACATTTTGGTCCTAAACACCATGAGTTGTTTGTAATCATGTAACTCCCAGATTTTCTTTGCATGTGATTCTGATTGAGATGCCTTTTTAAAACCAATCTTCCTGATCTGAGGTACAGTGCTGTCCACTTGCAGGGGCCAACCTAGGAACAGTTGGCAGGAGCAGACAGGAAAATGCTCCTAGCCCAGGGCATGGTGTGCATGCGCTAATTTTTTCAAAAAGGGTTTCTAAAACTTGCTGTGGAAATAATAATAATAAAAAATCTTAATTAGCTGCCGCTCCTTGAGTGCATGGCAAAGGAGGAGCTGCCAGGGAAAGGGTATATGGTGGCATCTTTTCTTTTTTTCTCTCTCACATAACTGGAAGGGGCAGGAGCTGCGCTCTGTTTTGGCGCTTCCCCATTTTTGCTGCCAGTCTTTTGCTCTCATCTGAGGAGCCATCAGTAAATGTGATGAAACGGGTTGGCTCTGCAAGCAGTAGAAAACACGAGCCGCAAAATGCTCTGAATAAGGCAAAGCACGGCTGCCTCTTTCCCTTCGACCTAGGGGTGCCCGCTCCCGGACAGGAAGTAGCTCGGTATGGCCAGCCCATAGTATAGATAGGCCCTGACTTATTGAACAGATTTATAAAGGAAAGGGTTGAGGTATTTGGCCTATATAATCTGGCCGAACACTTTGCCTTCAGAAGATATCTCTCTGTCCTCATTGAGGCTCAAGGAGGCCCCTTTTGTTCTCATTTTATAGCTGGAGAGCTATGGCTACGAAGTCTGTAGTGCCCCACCAGTGCAAGACCAGAACTGTACTGCTGATGGTTTCCATCCCAATCATTTGCACCCATGCTCTGATCCACTTCCCGTTGCTTGTGTGTCACACCCTTCTTCCTTCCATTTCAAACACCTCCATCCTCCACCGCCCATGATCCCCCGGATGGCACCTCTGCCTTCATTTATTTTCGTTTAATCAGACTAATTTTTGCATGCTTTTTCTGCTGTGCTCCTTCTTGTCTGTGCAGGACGCTCATAACTAAGGAGGTCGGCAGTGTCTCTCTCCGTATGAAACAGGTCGAAGAACTGTGAGTAGGCCAAGCCCTTTGTCAACTGTGCCATCTCTGAAACAGTCTCGTCTCCTCCTCCTCTTGCCGTTTCCTGTCACTCCCGGTGTTCACCTCGGACAGCAGGGCTCTTAGGAGAAACGGCAGTTTGTTGGGCAGACTTTTAGATGAGATGCTTGGTCAGTTAACAGACATGGTTTGGGTCGGTGTGTAGCCTCTGTTGGTGCAGAAGAAGAGATCGGGAGGGTGCTGTGTCGTCATCCTGGCGGTCTCAAGGCAAAGCTTGTGCAAATTGTATCTAAGCCGTGGTTCCCAAATGTTCCCGGAAGCCCCGGACAGTATGGCCAGGGATTCTGGGACTTGTAGTTTCCCCACAACATGGTTGGCTGTTGCTGACTCTCGTTCTGCTTTTTCTGACCTTCCTGTCTCTTCGGGGCTTCGTTGCCCCACTTTTTTTCTCCTTCCTTTGCTGACCCTGAGTTGAGTTGGAGTGGTTGAGAGTGGACAGCTGTCCCCGTTCGTACTCCACCTTCAGGGCATTGCATCCTTGTTCCACGGAATGTCAGTAATGCGGCCGTGGGTTGAATGTGTGAAGCAGTCAGATGTGGCTTTCTGGAATGGAGTGGGAAGTGTACCCATTCCCCCCCCCCGCCCCGCTCTGGATAAAAGATGGCTCACAGGTTGCCTGTAAAGAAGACGACGACGACGACGTAGGACCATGTCATTGTGGCAAGGAGGCGGATGGGCCTTTTCTGTAATGATTTCTGTTAAAACAGGTGCAGCTTCCGTTCACTTTGTATAAAGGTGTGTTTGAGCCTACGTCCTCAGAGGAAAGACAGAATGCAGGCGGTGTCAGTCTTTGGGCCTCTGAGAAACATAAAGTGTTATGCTGATAGGGGGAAGATGAGTATTTCCCTCTTTATCACAAAGTGTTGTGACATGAAGGGGCATGACGGGAAAGCCCCTGGCCCTCTGGGGTTGCTGGGCTGCAGTATCCCATCATCCCTCGCCACTGACTAGTGTGTCTGCTGCTGATGGGAGTTGGAAGCCCAAGGCATCTGGAGGGCCACACCGCTCCCCATCCTTGACCTAGACGGTAACATCGGGTGGTGCATGTTACCCAGTGTTCTTTGTGCCATGTTGCCTTAGGCTTCTGGGGCGGAGTTCCCATATAACCAGGGATGGGGAACATCAGGCCTTGGGACCGACTGTAGGCCTTGCGGGCTTCCATTCATCCTCTGTGGATGTTCCTCACGAGTTGTGCCCCTTTCTCTGTGGAATTATGGTTTTGTGGTTTTCCAAATCTTGTACCAACCTTTTCCAGGTCTGATAAGAGTAAAATGCCTTTCCCTGGATCAAGGAAAGTTTGGAGCTAAAATAAGCTACTATGTATGATCACATCTTTTGCTCTTTTTCTTTTTTTTAAAGCGGGCTGTGTCCAGCACTAGAATGCAGCCCCTGAGAGTCGCTGCAATGGAATCGGCCCTCGTTCTGAACCACGTTCCCCATCCTTGTGTTATATTGTGCTTGTAGCCGATGGCAGATTGCTTTGCTCCTCCTTCCTCCAGGAGCCTTGCATGCTTGGGATGTCTTGTTTCAAGGCTCTGGCTTCTGCAGTGGGTAGAGTTGTTCAGCGGTTGCAGGTGTCAGGCTCTGTCGAACCCTGTGATTGTCCTTTTAGGTGCTCCTCCTCCACCAGTGATGCCAGAGTTTCTCCGTGTTGAAACCACTGCCGTGTGTCTGTGTCAGGGTTGAGTGTTCAGGTTGGGGAGAATCTCACTGGGCCCTCTCCTGTCCCTCTGTGTCCTTAGGTACCACTCTCTCCTTGAGCTGGGGGAGAAGCGTAAAGCCATGCTGGAGAAGAGCTGCAAGAAGTTCATGCTTTTCCGTGAGGCTAACGAGCTGCAACAGTGGATCAACGAGAAGGAGGCGGCGCTCACCAACGAAGAGGTGGGAGCAGACCTGGAGCAGGTGGAGGTGCTGCAGAAGAAGTTTGATGACTTCCAGAAGGTGAGTTGGAGTGTTGGAGCCTCTGAGCGTTTCTTTCTGTCCCCAGAGGACTGAACGAGAGGAAGGAAAACAGGTGGGCAGCAGTGGCTGTGATGAGGAGGAGGACTGGGGCCATCTTGCCCAGAACTCAGAAGAGTTAGGTTTCAGACGACAACTCCCAGAATCCCCCAGCAGAGATGGCTGGTTATCATGCTGGCTGTGGGATTCTGAGATTCTGCTCGTGCCACCCCTGGCGAGGCTCGGTTGGTTAATTAGTTTGCTTATCAGGACGGCGAGGTTCTTCGTGTCTCTCCGTGGCTTTTTACATGTTGTCATGCCCTTTGGGGGCTTTAGCTGTCACGTGGACTCCTACGCGATGCCTCCTTCACAGAACAGAGCCAGTTTTCACGCCAGGGGGGGTTGTGTTTGTTCCCTTCTTGCAGGATCTGAAAGCCAACGAGTCGCGTCTGAAGGACATAAACAAGGTGGCGAATGACTTGGAGTCCGAAGGCCTCATGGCCGAAGAGGTGCAGGCGGTGCAGCAGCAGGTCCGTTTCTCTTCCCTTCGTGGCTCCTCCCTCTCCCCCTTCCCCCAGATATTTTGGAAATCTCCCCAATGAATGACTGCTACCCAGCTGCCCAGAGGCTGCTCTGGTCGCCCATTCTGGAGCTGCATAGGTTTGTGGGCAGCAAGGTAGGAAGTCAAGCTGTCACTTGGGTTGGGTAGCAAAATGAAGAGGAAGGGAAGGAGAAGTGTACAAGTCCAGAAATGCTGAATTAGTGGCGGGCAACATTCCTGTCTCACGGCTGGGGTTCCTGCAGTGCGTCTCGGCAGTGATCCAAATCCATTCCTCTTAGCCGGAGGGATCTTGGTTGCTGTAGATGTAGGAACAGTCCAGGCTGCCTTGGGTTGAGTCAGACTGTAGTTCCGGCTAGCCCAGCCTGGTCAGCTCTAACTGGCAGCCGTAGTTCTCCAGGTTCTTAGTCAGGATCCCTTCGCAGCCCTCCCTGGAGATCCCTGGTCTTCCAGCTAAGACCTAACCAGGCCTGGCTTTCCATACATTTTGAAATCAGACAATGCCAGCTGTAGGGATGTTTATGGAAGCCTGCGTTGTCCACACAATTTTTATAATATGCGCAACACGTTGGCTGTCCCCGAGATGCGCAGTGGCACTTGAGCACAATCTTTACGCTTAACGTCATGTTTTTTGAGTCCACCCCAAGTGGCAAAGGGCCCTGATTGTCGTTGTCAGGGTAAGAGCCTTTCTCCTGAAGATTTAGCTCATTCTGTGGAGCAGAAAGCATTCGGAAAACCAAGACAATGGCGATGCTTGTTTTCGACTGTTAGCTGTTCCTGTCAGTTTTTAATTTCTGTTTGTAACTGCAAGGTAGCAAGAAAATCACAGTCCTATTAGCAGCAGGTATTTTCCTGCTAGAAACCCTAAAGAAGCTCATTTGCAGTAAAAGGCACAGTGAAAATGTTTAGTGATTTTCCTTTTCAAGAAGAGTTGACATCTGTTCTGATTCTGCTGTGCAGAAAAGAAATGGAAACATTTTCTTCTCTCTTGCAGGAAGTCTACGGAGCGATGCCCCGGGTAAGCACCCTTGTCCACTATGTAGTCTCAGTTCTAGTGCTCTTTGAGAGGGGTAGAATTGGGACCTACAGCACACGTCCCAACCTGAGCGGACCGATGCTGAATCAGTGGGATTTATACCAACATTGACTTGCCATTGAACAAGACTAGCAGCTGATTTTAGGCCCCATCTTCAAAACCTATGTTAAGTCTTACTGAGTTCTGCAAGGTTTTCTCTTAAGTACATTGTGCAATATTGCAGTTTTGGTTATTGGCTTAAGAAAATATGTTGCATTGTTTTTTTAAAATGTCTTAGTCCTGTTGCTGACAGTAGCCCTTAAGTGTTTGCCGATTTCGATCCCGTGCAGTTTGGACTCACTATTTGATTCTTTCTTCAAACAGGATGAAACTGATTCCAAGACAGCATCTCCTTGGAAGGTAAGGGGCCCTTTGGAGGGATTAGATGGCTGTGGGGAGGGGCCTAGAAGCTGGGCAGTTTGTTTTTCTCCTCTACAACTTTTGGGGGTGGTTCAGATGATTAATTCTGGGATGTGTTCCCCCCCCTTTCTGTTTCCAGTCTGCGCGCCTGATGGTGCACACTGTGGCTACATTTAACTCTATCAAGGTAAGACTCGTTTAAGGTCTTTTGTTTTCATGGCTGAACAAATTTCCCCCCACCAATCTGTTGGGATTACAGCTCCTGTTGAGCCCAGTCACGTCCGGAGGTTAGGAGTGGAGGGAAGTTATTGTAGATGGTATCCCCACCTCTCCATCTCTTTGCGGCTCCCTCCAGGGTGGAAAAGCCCCTTGCTTTGCAGGGCTGCCCAGGGGCTGCTTGTGGAAACCTTTTATGTCTTTCCCCATCGCTGGCAAACTTTTCTCTCCTTGTCCTGAAGAGCGTCAGGGTCAGATCTGGCCTTGCTGCTGCTCCGTGAGAGGAAAGGAGAGACGTTCACCTCAGTGTCCCCATCGTTGTGACTCAACGCCCCGTGGGATTATGTTTCAAGAGTTAACCTATTTGGATCACTCCCTGGGCATTCTTGGGATTAACACGGTTCCTCTTCTTCTTTCTTCTCCAGGAGCTGAACGAGCGTTGGCGAGCCCTGCAGCAGCTGGCAGAGGAGCGAAGCCAGCTCTTGGGAAGTGCTCACGAAGTCCAGAGATTCCACAGGTTAGGAGCCGTCGCTCCCAAATTGGTGGGCGTTCCACTGGTGCTCCATCTGAAAGGGGAGCGGCTCTGTGTTGTTGAAGCAGGTGGCCCCTTAAAATTCCAGCTGGGGAAAACAGAAGAGGTGGCATCTATAACAGGGCAACCCTCGGGGAAGACGGCCAAAGAATGGCTTCCGCTGCCCCCCCATCCCTCCCCCCTTCTCGCTGCACTGTCATGGCATCTCACCCTTCCAGACATGTTGTTCAGTGGCTGTTTTGGTCCTTACTGTGCCTTACAGAGATGCTGATGAAACCAAAGAATGGATCGAAGAAAAGAACCAGGCCCTCAATACCGACAATTACGGGCACGACCTGGCAAGCGTCCAGGCGCTGCAACGCAAGCACGAGGGCTTCGAGAGGGATCTCGCCGCTCTGGGTGACAAGGTGTGAAGGAGGGGAGAGAGAGAGAGAGGAGGAGGAGGAGGAGAGCCATTCAGTTCAGAGCCAGGCGTGGTCCTTTTCCTCTAATCCGGTCTCCCCCACTTGCGTTGCTCCAGGTGAACTCTCTCGGAGAGACGGCGGAGCGGCTCATTCAATCTCACCCCGAGTCAGCGGAGGATCTCCAAGGAAAATGCACCGAGCTGAACCAGGCCTGGAACAGCTTGGGGAAACGGGCCAACCAGCGCAAGGAGAAACTTGGAGACTCTCACGACCTGCAGCGCTTCCTGAGTGACTTCAGGTGAGACTAGCCCCCCCTCCCTGGGTCCCTTCCCTTTTGTTTCTTTAAAGGTTGGGGTGCTGGGCTTACGCTGGGCTGACTCTGAAGCCCGCGGAGGCTGTAAACATTGGCTGCTCTGTGTGTGGCTCTCCCCAGGGACCTCATGTCTTGGATCAACGGAATCCGTGGGCTGGTGTCCTCAGATGAACTTGCCAAGGATGTGACAGGAGCCGAGGCGTTGCTGGAGAGACACCAGGTATGGCGGGCAGTCTTGCCTCCCGATCCAAGTGGGGTCTTTGCAAAAGTGAGGTTTTGCCATCCCTTGGGATGGTCTAGAGGAAGCGAGGCCCCTTTAAGCCACCCAGTAATGTTTGGGGCATGCCCGTGTGATTCTGTGTGTGTTTATGTAGCCTCTTACATTCCACTCCTGTATGAATGCTTTAATCAGTTTTTGTTCTGAGTATACCACCAGCCCCAGCTTTGTAGACAGGCTAGGTTAAGAACGACTGGGGCAGAGATACCACAGGGTTAAGAGCTGTTTGGAGATGAATGCGGTTCTCCTTGGGCCTCCTAGTCTGGCACGCAGACACCTCCGAAACGTGCATGGGCCCTCAAAAAAGAGGACTTCTTTGGGCTGGCTTCAGTAAGCCAGCTTTACAACCCCTTTCCTAGTCTTTTCTGCCTGTGTGGCTGTCTTTCATACTGGAAGAAGGCTGAGCCAGCTGGCGCTGAGCCGCCACACCTAGGATGTCACGGGCACTGTCGCTGGGACAGCCCAAGCGTATCTTTTGCAAACCAGAAACGACCGCAGGGCCTCTCTTCAGAGCGCCGGGAGTTTGACACAAAGAACGCACACGTGTAGCTGAGCCTTGTGGCCACTCCTGGCACTCTTCAGATGGAACAAAAAGTGTCCTCCTCACCTTCCGCTAGGAACACCGCACGGAAATAGACGCAAGGGCTGGCACGTTCCAGGCCTTTGAGCAGTTTGGGCAGCAGCTCTTGGCCCGGGGCCATTACGCCAGTCCAGAGATCAAGGAGAAGCTGGACATCCTTGACCAAGAAAGGGCGGACTTGGAAAAAGCCTGGGTCCAGCGACGGATGATGTTGGACCAATGCCTAGAATTACAGGTACGTCTGTTTGGTGGATCTGCCACCTCCTCCTTGGCCTTAAGGGATAGGGTGGTCCAGCAGTAGATTGCTCCTCCTGCTCTGGCTTTAGAGGTGGGGCTATGCAAATGACTTTGTGCTTCCCTCTTTGTGACTTTGGGGTTTCTTAATGTCAGCCAATTAGCGGCAAACATCCAGTCTGTGGGCAGCCTTCCTGGGGGCTGGAAGCAGGGCCAGCATACTTGCATGCAAGCAAGATTCGGCTGTAAAGAGGGCTATACTCCCTGGCTAGTTTTGATAAGGAGCTGGGCCTTAGTAGGCAGTCGGACGGACAGATGCACAGAGAGAAACCAAACTGGCTGAATCAAGCCCAGAGGGGCGCACCAGGACTCTGTTGCCTTTTTTTGGGGGGGGGGTAAAGGATTGTTCTAGGCAGTGGTGGCCAGCCGGTGTCCCTAACGTGCTTTTTTGCGTATTGGCTTCCCCTTCAGCTCTTCCACAGGGACTGTGAGCAGGCAGAAAACTGGATGGCCGCCCGTGAGGCTTTCTTAAACACGGAAGACAAAGGGGATTCCTTGGACAGCGTGGAGGCCCTCATCAAGAAGCACGAGGACTTTGACAAGGCCATCAACGTTCAGGTGTGAGGAGCGTCCCCTTGGGTGAAAGGATACCCCACCTTTGATGGATTAAGAGTTTAGGGATCCTGCCCCTTCTGTCCCATCGTCGGGAATTCCATAAGACCGCCAAACATAAAAATAGCCCTACTGGATCAGATCAGTGGTTTATGTCGCTCAGAATACTGTTGCCATAGTTCTTCTCAGAAGCACCACCGGGGGGAGGGGGGGAGGGTTTCCTGAAGCTTTTACCGTACAGCACTGATCTACAGAACGTGCTGAATTTGCAAGAAACATCCATCAGCCCAAGTAGCATTATAGTGAGTAGCAAGAGGCGTTCCTTGGGATGGGTAGCTCCCTGGCAGCAGGCCAAAGAATCCGTTCCCAGCAGATTTTGAGCAGATGCCCTTTTAAGGAGGGCACCCCCCGTGAATGTGTCCAGGAGGTAAGCGCCGCTTGGCACTACAATACAAAGGCAACCATCTCTGGGCAAAACAGTGTTCTTCTTATAACCAAGGATCCTTTGATTCCTCCATGAAGAAGTGCTTTCAGAATAATCCCTGCCCTTGACCTCTCCCATAGCTGTTGAGGCGGGAACTCCTGTTCTTGATCCTCCTTTTCAAGGCGTGTTTTTTTTTTCTTTCTTTCTCTGCAGGAGGAAAAGATCGCAGCCCTCCAGTCCTTTGCTGACCAGCTCATCTCTGCTGATCATTATGCCAAAGGAGTCATTGCCAGCAGACGCAATGAGGTTCTGGACAGGTGGGTGGGACGTCTCCGTTTCTGGGAGCCGATTCTGTATGCCAGTTGGCATGGCCGTTCATCCGGAGAGCCCGTCCTGTCTCTCGCAGTTTTGCTGGACCATTCACTGACACAAAGTGTGGGATTTCCTTCCTTCCAGGTGGCGGCGTCTGAAAGCTCAGATGATCGAGAAGAGATCTAAGCTTGGGGAATCTCAGACCCTCCAGCAGTTCAGCCGAGACGTGGACGAAATAGAGGCGTGGATCAGTGAAAAGCTCCAGACAGCGAGTGACGAATCATACAAAGATCCCACAAATATCCAGGTGAGGAGAGTTTATACAGATGTGCCATGCCTGATGAAGGGTGGGGGTGGCAGGTGCCCTCCTTCCTCCAGCTGGCACTCATTTGGATCCTCTTGATCTACTGTTGCTACCCACAGCCAAGGCTAGGTGGGAACGATAGGTGTTGTAGACCAACACTTGGTGGGAAAGGCGGGCTTGCATGTAGAGGGCCAGGATATGCAACAAGTTCCACTGAAGGAATTTCAGAGCTGACTGCACAGCCTGGCCCTGGAGGTGCTGAAGTTTGTGTGTGGAAACCACGGCGCACAAATCCATTCCTTCCTGTGGCTTGGTTGATAGATTCTGTTCATGTTGGAGGCAGACATTCCTTTTTTTTTCTTCCCACCCCCCAACAATTAAGTCCGGATTCTGTCCACAGAGGATGCTCAGTTTTCATCAGGTGATTTTTGAAGTTTCCTCCCAGCTATAGGTTTTTTTTCCCCTTCTGAAACCCTCCAGTTCTTGAAACATGTTGATTTCTCCCTCTTGTGGGTTGTACCAGCGTGGCAGCATAATACCCTGTTTCCCTGAAAATAAGACCTAACCTGGAAATAAGCCCTAGTGTGATTTTTCAGGATGCTTGTCATATAAGTTCTACTCGAGAAATAAGCCTTAGTTAAGTGAAACCCCATCTTCCACCATTGTGCAGCAACCAGAAGAAGATGACATGACTGTATTTGAATAAAAAATAGATTGTACATGAAAAAAATAAAGCATCCCCTGAAAATAAGCCCAAATGCATTTTTTTAAGCAAAAATTAATATATGAACCTGTCACATTTTTGGTGAAACAGGTTAGCTGGCACTCACAGCAGAAGGAGAGATGTTATCTGACTTGCACACTCGGGGGTGGTGTATTTTTTGAGAGCTGCCCAAATACAAGCTCTGCTTCCATTTCCAAGATGCAGAACTTGTTTTTTCAATAAATAACAGAGATCTGTTTTCGGGACTCTTGCCTTTTTAAAAAAATAAAGTAAAATACCCTTCTCTGGATCAGTATGAAATGCACTGATCTGTTTTTCTCTCTCAATCTGTTTTGTAGCTTTCCAAACTCCTGGTAAGTCTTGAATAGTTCAGTTTTGGTTTGGCTTGGTATATGTTTGTCCCTCGCCGTACATGACTTGTGTCAGAGGGTCATCTTTTGTTTGAAGTACGTTTTCATCCATTCACCCATTTGTTCATTCAGTCGGTCTCTCGTTACTCCCGCTCAATGATTGTGTTGTGCTACTTGTTGACTCATCATCGGGGCAAAGGTCTTTGTGTTTGGTTTTGCTCCTACTGTTTTTTAGTGTTTTATTTTTTGTAATGGCTCATCAAATCATCTATTAACCTGTTTGTATTGCAGCAGTCTTCTGCATGATCTGTTTAAGTTGCTGGTACCTTTTTTTGCTCCTTTTAAGAGGGCACGTGATAAAGGAATTACATTAATCTCTCTTCCATCTCTCTGTCTGTCTCTTGACATCTTTCTGTCTCTTAAAGTAGCTTGACTTACGATCAAGCAAAGACGATGGTTGAACTTGGGAGCTCAGTCCCGTACTTTGGAATAACAGGGTAGTCTCCTCTCTGCTACAGGAGCCTGGACAGATCTGGGCACAGCTTGATGTTAAAAAAAAAATTAGGAATGAAAGATAGCAGAAATGGACAGGTATTAATAGAGAGGACCAAAGCGTACACATGACACCTATGTTTAGTATTGACTCTTTGGAGAGAAACAGCGGAACTACAGGCAAGCAGGATGTTGCTTTCATTGGGAAATCAGAAGTGGGAAATTAAATAAATACATTTTACAGCAGTTTTGACATCCATTACCTCACTGTGGAGGTGGTTTTCACAACAGCATAGACGCAGGGTGGCTGAATGGTACTATCCTGCCACTGTGCGATCTGGTGTGGCAGCACTGGCGGGGCTTTTGACTGCACCAGGACAGAGTTGGGTCTAGGCCAAGAAGCTGAGCTGTGCTGAAGGAGAGGACCTGACACAATCTCGGGGGGGGGGGCAGACCTCTGGTGGCGCCTTTGCACTTCAATCTGACCTGAACGACCCTGGTCCCCCGATTATTTCTGCCCGTTTGGCTCTGTGCTCTCTGGCTTGGTTGCTGGGCAGCATGAAAGAGCGGATGTTGAGTCTGTCACTGAGATCAGCCACCCAGCTGTGGCGGAGACTGACAGCCGACTGCCTCAGGCCCCTTGGTGTCCGTAGCATGCTTTGCCCCTGGTGGGTTCCTCTGCTCAGACTGGCAGGCAGGAGCAGGGGTGCCTTCCTAAGCTTTTTTCTCCTCGAGGCACCCTGCTCCTCCCCAAACCCCACCATGAATTCGTTTCTACCGATTTAGGTGCAGATCAATTTGCTGCCCCTCCTTCTGTGTCAGATTCGAAACAGGTAGCAGTCTTGCTTTAAGTAGATCTGTTCCTCCGATTCAAACGGGAAAAAGTGGGAGAGTATACGCAATAATTATATCCCGGGGAGCAAACAAAGGTTGGATGCTGCCATCTTAGGGCAGTCTTGCTTTAAGTAGATCTGTTCCTCTGATTCAAATGGGGGAAAAGTGGGAGAGTATACGTGATTATATCCCGGGGAGCAAACAAAGATTGGATGCTGCCATCTTAGAAGAGTCACCAAGTGTGCTCCAGATTGGAATATTCTCAAGGTCACCATCTTCTGGTTTCTTTCTGTCAAATGTTTCATTTTCCACCCTTGCATGAGAAGAATTTCCGAGCTGTTTCCCACTTACTCACGGGCTCCTCCTGTTCTGCTGTCTCCAGAGCAAACATCAGAAGCATCAGGCCTTTGAAGCCGAACTACATGCCAACGCTGACCGGATCCGTGGCGTCATTGATGTGGGGAACTCCCTCATTGAACGAGGCGCCTGCGCAGGCAGTGAGGATGCTGTGAAGGTGGGTGTTGCCCTCAGTGCCACTTGGTTACGCGGAATCCATCCAGCAGCAATTAAAATTGAGCTTCTTTGTCAGTAGCATCTGCATTCTTCCAAATGAAACATGCTGCCTGGATCAGCTGCATGTAGTAGATCCCTGGTTATGCTAAGACTGGAGAGATTCCTAGGGTCCATGGGGTCCATGTGACCCTCCCAGGTTGTATTCGTGGCCTGCAGGACCCCCAAAATAAAAGAAAAATCACCTAAAAAATACTTGGTTGATCCTTCTGCTCCAAATGAAAATCCACACTTTGGGGATACAGTTCCCCTCTGAAATAAAGTATGGGCTACATTATTTCACGTGGCAAAATCAGTGGAATATTTATTCTGTGGGGATCTGGTTTGTGACTTTTGAACCTGAGTCACTTCTGGTCTTTTCTTTCTTGGCATTAGGCTCGCTTGGCTGCTCTTGCTGACCAGTGGCAGTTCCTGGTGCAGAAATCGGCAGAGAAGAGTCAGAAGCTGAAGGAAGCCAACAAACAGCAGAATTTCAACACTGGGATCAAAGACTTTGATTTCTGGCTTTCAGAGGTAGCTTCTCTAACTTTTTCTGCTCTCAGAATGTGGATTCAGCCTATGGACAGGGAAAATCCCATGTTTATGAAAACCGTGATTTTCAGTATTCTCAAAAATGGTTAGTAGAGAGTAAATTTAAAAGCCTGTGAAGATTACTTGCTTTGTAGTCCTTGTCATACTGAGGACAAGTGGATCATCTGGAAACAGGTGGCATAGTTTTGCCAGTTTGTGAAAAAGGAAAGGAATATTAACTCTGGTAACTTCAGAAACGCAACAATCCCCATATTCCACAAGAGTATGAGCTAGCTTTCCTTGTCGTCTCCAGGTGGAAGCCCTGCTTGCATCTGAAGATTATGGGAAAGATCTGGCATCTGTGAACAATCTCCTGAAGAAACACCAATTATTGGAAGCGGACATCTCTGCCCATGAGGTAGGAGTTGTTAGCTGTGATCCCAGAAACACATGCCAAACCATGGTTTGATGTTCTCATCTGATCCTGCTCCAGCTGACAAACAAACCGTGGTTTGCAGGCTAGAGCTTGTGCTTAACAGTGCTGTGATGTCGGATCTACCTGGAGGTCTAGATCACTGGTTCTTAACCTTTGTTACTTAGAGCTTGTGCTTAACAGTGCTGTGATGTTGGCTCTACCTGGAGGTCTAGATCTAGATTGAGCTTTCTCCAAATACATGCCAGAGAGTGTACCTTGAGCTGCTTCTTCTCCATCAGCTCTGCTGGCTGGGGTTTCTGGGAGTTGCAGTTCAAAAGCACCTGAGTAACAAAGGTTAAGAACCACTGGTCTAGATCTAGATTGACCTTTCCCCAAATACATGCCAGAGAATGTACCTTGAGCTCAAGTGCTTCTTCTTTCCTTGTTCTTAGGATCGCTTAAAAGACCTGAACAGCCAGGCTGACAGCCTGATGACCAGCAGTGCTTTTGACACCTCCCAAGTCAAGGATAAGCGTGACACTATCAATGGACGGTTCCAGCGCATCAAGAACATGGCAGCTGCCCGCCGTGCCAAGCTGAATGAGTCCCACCGCCTGCATCAGTTCTTCCGGGACATGGATGATGAGGAATCCTGGATCAAGTACGTAACTCTAGAGATTTTTAGAATGCAAGGATCCAAGTGCATCTCCTAATCCTAACTAGATCAGATCCAATGACTCAATGAGATTTATGTAAATATTGATTTATCATTACATACCATATTTGATTATGTTTATTTTCAGAATCCTGGATCAAGTACGTAACTCTAGAGATTTTTAGAATGCAAGGATCCAAGTGCATCTCCTAATCCTAACTAGATCAGATCCAATGACTCAATGAGATTTATGTAAATATTGATTTATCATTACATACTTGATTATGTTTATTTTCGTTGGGACTGCCAAATAGATTTCGATCAGACCTGCAGCTTTGTTTATGGTTATGGGTTTTATATCTATTTAAGCGTATTTATTCTCTCTTTTCCCCCTTTACTGTTCAGAGAGAAAAAGCTACTTGTCAGTTCAGAAGATTACGGCAGAGACCTGACAGGGGTGCAGAACTTGAGGAAGAAACACAAGCGCCTGGAAGCAGAATTGGCAGCACATGAACCTGCCATTCAAGTGAGGGAGCTGCGTATAAAATATGCACATTTGGGGTGTGAAAAATACAATGTTTAATGGTTGTGGCTGTCCAGCAGTCCAAGGCAGAGTATAATTGATCTTGTCAGCCACAGTGATGGTTTTGTCTGTCAAACAGGGTGTCCTGGACACCGGGAAGAAGCTCTCTGATGACAACACCATTGGGAAGGAAGAGATCCAGCAAAGACTGGCCCAGTTTGTGGAACACTGGCAAGAGCTCAAGAAGCTGGCGGCTGCGCGGTGAGTAAAGAGCTGCTTCCAAAGCGGCCAGGCTTTTTGACTGGCGGTTTCTCCCTTAGGGATGCAGGATCAGAATTACAGCAAACAAGATGGCGTATTTCTGTAGGCCAAGTAGTCTTCTACAGTGCAGAAATCATACGGATTTTTGCATCATACGGGACCTTCTCCTGGGGCTGTGTTGGTGGCAGGGGTGAGCCAGATGTGGCCTCCTGGAGGTGGCTGGACTGTTCTACTCCCCTGAACCGAGCCACCGATGAGAAGGAGTGTTGGGAATTGTTCTCCAGCAACCTCTGGTGGGTTGTGCTTTGGCCTCTCCAGCTGTGTATCAAGGGGAAGGCGTGGGGGCAGGCCTGACTTCTCCTCTCTGGTTCCACTGTAGTGGTCAGCGGCTAGAGGAGTCTCTGGAGTACCAGCAGTTTGTGGCAAATGTGGAAGAGGAGGAAGCCTGGATCAATGAGAAGATGACACTGGTTGCCAGTGAGGACTATGGAGACACGCTTGCCGCTATCCAGGTAAGCAAGAGTTGATAGCCCGGTTGGTGGCAACCTTTTGTTGATGAGTCAATCAATGGGGAAGCCCAGGAGGGGGTTACCTGGGTGCTCTGCCCCCCTTCTGTCCTCACGACAGACAGTAGTTTTGTGTCTGAGTGGGAATTTGGACCCCGATTTCTCTGAGGTTAACATCCAGCATCCCTTCCTCTGTGCCACCCATTGTAGAAAACGCTCAAGGTTCAGCCCTTTGGCCCACCGGCTGAGTTCTGTCCCAGCTCTTCCTGTAAACTTGTCCTCCCTCACAGGGCCTGCTGAAGAAGCACGAAGCATTTGAAACGGATTTCACCGTGCACAAGGATCGAGTGAACGATGTCTGTGCTAATGGCGAGGATCTCATCAAGAAGGTAAACAGAACTGGAGCGGCTTTTTAAAAAAAGCCACATGCCAATCTTATCAGAGAGCCTTTGTGGCAGCACAGAGAGCAGTTGCTGCTGTGATGCCAGGGTGGCATCTCCCACCTCTACCCTGGTCCGTGAGACTGTCTATCAGGTACCCCAACTCTGTTGTTGCTATCGGCAGAGGAAATGGCCATGTTAGGGTCAAATCAGAAGCACTGTGTTTTTTTTTTCTTTTATGCAGAACAATCACCACGAAGAGAACATTACGGCCAAGATGAAGAGCCTGAGGGGCAAGGTGTCTGATCTGGAACGAGCAGCGGCCCAGCGCAAGGCCAAGTTGGATGAAAACTCTGCCTTCCTCCAGTTCAACTGGAAGGCAGACGTGGTGGAGTCTTGGATAGGTATGAACGGTGCCTCTTGGGCCGATAAGACATGCGCCGTGTAGAGTAGTATGTGAGGGCAGAAGCCACGCCTCTCAGCCAGTAGAATAAGTGCTGTGTCTGTCTGTGGGCCATGGGGCTGGCAAAGCTGGCTTGCTGTTGCTTTCTGTTTTTTCAGAGTAATGCAGTTTCAAGTCCGTTGCATTGTTTGGTAGCTGAGGTTAGTTTTCCGTTTCAGCAACCAGTCATTTGGGTTGTCTGATTACCCTGGGAAAAATAATTTTTTTGAAGGACCTTCTAAGGATCTTCAGCACATATTATAGTTTATGTATTAATTTAAATAACTCTAGAGTGCCTGTGAGTTTTCTATAGGCAATTGCAATAAAATATGGCTTGGAGAAGTAAATTGCTTTGTTTTGCAAGACACCCTTCCCAACTGCCATCCCACTGAGGAACTCTTAAAACAACACTAAAAAGCCAGTGGGAAGCATTCTGCTTTGGAGGTCTCTCCATCCTTGTATTCTCGGTTTAGTATCTGTATTGTATTTATTTTTTGCATTAAATACCTCAAAATAAAATGGTTATTGGTTTGTTTGTTTTTAAAAAAGTGGATGGGGGAAAGCACTGGAAGTAGACCAAGACACAGTTTTTGTTCTTTTTACTTTAGGTGAAAAAGAGAATAGCCTCAAGACGGATGACTATGGCCGTGACCTCTCTTCTGTGCAAACCCTCCTCACCAAGCAGGTAGGTGGAAGCGGGGGGAACTCCCCCACCCCAAGAGAGATGGGGCCGGCTCCTTCACTCCTGGACCCTAGTCAAAGAAACACATGCTGGTTTCTCTCAGCATTTTGTGTGTTAAGATGCATTAATACGTAAAACAGCTATTCTTTGATGTTTGTGTTGTGCCTTTATGCCCACGGTCTGAAAAAGTGTGAAAATCTTGGTTTTGGTGGTGATAATATTTAGTAGTGAAAAGGACCCAATGCTGGACCTCTTCTCCTCTTTTTGCTATTCCAGGAAACCTTTGATGCCGGACTCCAGGCTTTCCAGCAGGAAGGCATTGCCAACATCACAGCCCTGAAAGACCAGCTTCTGGCTGCCAAACACATCCAGTCCAAAGCCATTGAGGCTCGCCATGCCTCGCTGATGAACCGCTGGAACCAGCTGCTGGCCAACTCCGCTGCCAGAAAGAAGAAGCTCCTGGAGGCCCAGGAACATTTCAGGAAGGTGGGTAGGAGGCCGTTTTCTTTGGTTTGCGCCTGGCTCGTCCTCGCTGCTTATGGGGGAGGACAAGATTTCCCATCCTGTTGGAGGTCCGTCGATTTCAGTCCTTCATGGAGTGGCTTCAGTCTTTGCCTCCAAGCCCTCGGTTGGCACCTGGACGCTTGTCTTCTCTTTCAGGTGGAAGACCTCTTCCTGACTTTTGCCAAGAAGGCATCAGCCTTCAATAGCTGGTTTGAGAATGCTGAGGAGGATCTCACGGACCCCGTGCGCTGCAACTCCCTGGAGGAGATCAAGGCCCTGCGTGAGGCGCATGACGCATTCCGCTCCTCGCTCAGCTCTGCCCAGGCAGACTTTAACCAACTAGCTGAGCTGGACCGCCAGATCAAAAGTTTCCGGGTGGCTTCCAACCCCTACACCTGGTTCACGATGGAGGCCCTGGAGGAGACCTGGAGGAATCTGCAGAAGATAATCAAGGTAGCTGGCACCACCCTCTTCCTCTTGTTGCTCCCCACGTTCCTTCCTAGGTGCACACAAGACTCACTGTGTCAGATCTCCAAGCTTTCCTCCCATGGGCCTGAATGGTTCCTGCACGGCTCCATGTCATGGAATACAGGCCATGTACTGTTGTTTAAGGATTCCCAGCCCAGTTAACCCCTGATTGGTAAACCTTATATGACCCCACCCTCCTAAGGATTATCATCAACTCTTCCATCAAATGGCGACTGGGGTGTACTT